CACACACACACACAGACACACACACACACAGATACACACACACACACACACACAGACACACACACACACACAGATACACAGATTCACACACACACACACACACACAGACACACAGATTCACACACACACACACACACACACACACACACACACACACACACACACACACACTCCCAGGAGGTGGAGGTGAGCTCATTGCTCTCATAAAGTGGCGCCTAGCGTTTGGCGCTGGGCCACCGACTCGCTGCGGTTACCGTACAAGGCGTGTCGACAGAATAATGAGGCTGCATGACGGCGCTGCTGACAGCCGCATTACACACACGCTGCTCGACACGACCAAACACACACCGACACACACTCGAGCAGCAGCACAGTGGACACATTGACAGCAGCAGAACACAAACACTTTGTGTTCAGACTCCAGCAGACGCCAGAAGCAGAATGCTGCAGCAGCAACCTCCAACACAAGAGTCTGCAGCCAACACCGGTCCTGAACCTCAGCCCGACCCAAAAGTGTCTGAAGGGAAGCGCTCAGTGTGGAGCTCTTGGAGGCTGATTTTTAGTTCTGGTTTTAATGGTTTGTTCCTCACCAGCTTTGTTCAGTGTTTCACAGAAACTCTGTTGGTTTTTAACTCCTGAGTTCTGCTTGGAGGTCCTGAACCTCCTCAGAGTCTCTGTCATGGTCCCGTTGCTGCTAAACTCCCACAATGCTCTCTGCTGCCACCATGAGCTGTAGTCTGTAGACGCCTCCTCTGGTCTCTACAGGATTAAACAGTGAGAGGCTCCACCTGGTGGAACAACCAGGTACTGCAGCTGGTCTATGGTACGTGTGCATTATCGAGGAGAAAGGTGTCACACCAGACTGTCAGATACTAAATGTAAAATGACCTTCATCGTTTGTGTGTTTGTTGTGTGCACTCACAGTTATCATTTGTTGACTTTAGGAACATAATGCTTGATTGATTAATTGGCATTAATGATTTAACCAGTTGAAAACATATTAATCAATAAGACAAGAGAAGAAGGTCATGATGTCAGTAAATATGTCAGACAGCTCTGGGACGGACAGCGGAGACAAACACTACCAACTGCTGACTCAGCACCAGTGATGTCTGCCCCATGAACATCTCTCTACGTCTGATGAGCAGAGAGGAAAAGTCTGGAGACATGGAGATAGTTCAACATCTGCAGGACGAGGAGACAACATGAGCTCCAGGGTTTAACATCTGGAACATTATGGTTCCAGGATTTTACATTTTTATAAAACAAACAAGCAAAGAAACTATTTTTTTCTCTGGTTTCCATTATTCTATGAAGTGTGTCAGAAGGTTCCAGCACTGGTGTCACAACAGATCTATTTCAAACCCAAACTCCAGTCCAGAGGCCTCATTTATCATCAGTGCGTACAAACATTCCTACGCAAAGTATGGAATTTATCAGCTTGTACTTATACTTAGGAATGTG